CCTTTAAATCAGTCTGACAAAAAATTCAGGGTGTGTACTTATAGATGTTATGTTTTGACATGGCACAATACAATGTTTTGACGTCTTAATGCAAAATTGTCGGAATTGTACTAATTGATATTTTGATATGGGATAAACATGAATTTTCATTTAGTAAAAAATTGTTTTTGAACTATCTGTATGCAGTTGTAAATACTCTTACGTTGATAGGTTAATTCTTTTGTCGTGCTATTTGTTGTTTTTGTGTCTAGTACCTTTAAAATGAATCTATCCTTTATAAACAAAGTTTATTTGTTGTTATAGTGTACTAGTACCCACAACCTTCTTATGTAAAAAGAGAAAGATTTGACTTCTAACAAACATGTTGAACATCGCATTATTGCTTATAGACTTGTTCCAAACCGTGAACCAGTAGTTCTGTGATTTTTGTTGGGTACTTCCCGCCATAATTGGTTTTGGTTAATTTTCTAGGCGTTTATTATGTTTTTTAATCAATTTTTATAGCCATACGATAATTTGCAGATGTAAACATCCTTATCATTTAAACTTTGGAGGATATTTGATATATTTTTAGTACCGACATCTATGGCAAGGTTTTACTATTTATTCGAGCTGCAAAATATCTCATATAACATACATGATATCTTATAAAATATATATGATATCTCTAATGATATATACCATATCTTATATAATCTAGTTTTTATAAAACACCTTATAAACTTCATAAGATATGTTATAAACTTTATAAGATATCTAATAAACTTTATCAGATATATCGTATACTTTATAAGATATCTGATTAACGTTGTTAGATATCTTCTAAAGCACATAATATATCTTATAAACAATTCTAATATAAGATATCTTATATACTATTTTTTACAAATCTTATTCAGGTATTGACCAAGAGCGCTCTAAGAAATTATGAAAACAAAACGAAAAAGAACAAAATGTGTGTACTTATTTATTTGTAATAAGATTTTACAGCTACATATACAATTTTTGGAATCTGACGTCATGTATAAACAAGTTTCAGAGTTAGTTGACAGTTTAAAAACATCTGGCTCATTTTTGACATTGGATTTTAACTGGACCAAACTATTTTTTAAACAGATATTCACAACATAGATTTTTCAAGTAGTGTTTTTTTAAAAATTCAGTACTTGCTATTTTAATGATAAAAGTTAGTCCTCTAAGAACAACTATGAACAAACAAACAAAACTCAAAATACTTTATTTCATTCGCAAAGGAGTGCATGTTGTGTTCTCGGCACGACTATTTATTTTGGTACCTAGCTAACACTTGACTAAAATTAATTCGGCTCGTTTAATTTTCATAATATTTTTACAAAATATTTGGTTTGAACCTTTGACAAAAATATCAAAATTTCAAAAAACTTGAACCAGACACATTATCAGAAAAACATGGTTGGTTATATTTGACATACACTAATTTTGATCATTGAGAAGCTTAATATTCCCTTAACAAAACAACGTGATTAAAACGTTTAGCTGATTTTACAGAGTTATCTCCCTGTAGTGGTAGGTACCACCTTATATAACATGTACGTACATATAACTATATGATTATATATAACTACTCTTTTATAATATATAAACATGATAAAACGAAGAGGTAACATTGTTTCATTTATAAAAATATGCACATAAAAACACCATACTATATTAACTATTTATGCTTGCTATGGCAGTTTTGTTTCGTTGAAATCAATATGGAAATCAAAGTACTGGCATCCATAAAACACACCCTTTTCTGTTATTGTGCGTTCTGTGTCGTTTCTATAACACAGTATAGCAATGAATGGGATACTGATATTTCCTTGAGTAAATTTTGATGTCATAGTCACTCTACAATTGTACCAAAAAAATCTAATATACTGTGGATTCATTTATTTTCGTGGACCACCAATTTTCGTGGATAGATGAAAACTTGCATATTCGTGGATAGTTGAATTCGTGGTTTTGGCATGCATACTTTCTATGTAGAAAACTTGTATTTTGTTGAACATTTAAGTTCGAGGTTCCCCAGTACCCACGAAATCCACGAAAATTGGTATCCAACGAATACTAATGAATCCACAGTATTATATTCTGTAGCAGATGTCAACATACAATTATTATAATCGATTTTTTTTTCAAATGTCTAACTGGCTATAAAAAATGCCAGAAATGATAAATGTCTGCATTAAAACAGTGAATAACTCGAAAATATGTTATTATTAGAAAGTTATTACATTTTATGATTACACATGATGTAAACACAAAGCTACTACAATCAAACTATATGATATAATCATATCGATTTCGAGTTACCACTAGTCTTTACATCTAGAAATTGACAATTAGGGTAGGATGAAAACAAAACATTACGACAAAAGAAATGATTTCAGCTTCCCAATTGTGAACTTTCCATTTCTATGTAGCCACATTCCAGCAATGCCTGCATACGGAGTATATATCTCCCAATTGATACGATACTCTCGGACTTGTATTCCTATCATGATTTCCTTGATAGAGGGTTGATGCTCTCAAGGAAGTTACTAAAAGAAAAGTGTCAAATGGTGAAGTTGAAATCATCCCTTCGTAAATATTACGGATGCCATCACGAATTGGTTGACCGTTATGGAATAACCGTTTCATAGATGATCTCGGATATGTTCGTTATGTCGTAACTACGTACTTTTCCCTGTTCACGAATGTGACCTACCGAATTAGACTATTTACTGGGTTTGTAATAACATGAGCAACATGACGGGTGCCACATGTGGAGCAGACTCTGCTTACCCTTCATGTGCACCTGAGATCACCCAAGTGTTTGGTGGTGTTCGTGTTGCTTAGTCTTTAGTTGTCTATGTTGTGCTTTGTTTATTTGTATTATTTGTCTGTTTGTCTATTTCATTTTTAACCATGGCGTTTTCAGTTTATTTTCTATCTATGAATTTGACTCATATATCTGGTATCTTTCGTACCTCTTTTACAAAAGCACAATTATTTGTACTGCAGTCCCAGTGGTGTTCCATATTTATTTTCTCGCCGACTACACAATTCAGGAAGAAATGGGTAGCAGTTCCTGTTATTAAAAATGTCAGTATTGCATATAAGGAACTAAAAAATATGCGGTCATGCAGCAAACATTTACATGCATTTAAAATGCAGTTGAAAAACATCGTTCATTTTGTTTTTTCTTAATGGAAACGTTTGTAATGGCTCCAACGTATAGATATGGAAGATATTTTCTTTACCTTGTGGAATGTGAATTTGATTTTCTGGATTTTTTAAACCTTATTAGATGAAAGCTTTCAATGGAAAGTAATTCAAATACTGTATCATTTAATTGAAGCCTTGCACAGTTCTATTTAGATTACTATCTTATAAGATTTGGCCAATAATATGTAAAAAAATAATTGCGCCTATTAGTATTAGTTTTGATAGTTTGATATTTAATTACGTAACATTTCTTTATATTAATACTCTTAGGTTAAATTACATTTTGATAGATTGCATTTCAATAGGGTACCACCCGCTAAATTTTCCTTTGAATGGTATACATCTAAGTTAATTAAGTTCACTGTCCGGTATATCTTTAGAACATCCAAGTACGCTATCTTTGGAACCGTCGGGGTATCGCCTATAATTTAGTATATATAAAGTGCGAGAGATATCGGACAGAGGGGATATATATAGTAGTTAGTGAGATGGTTATACATTTTATTATGTAAGAGAAAGTATTTTATTGAAGGAATTTTTTAAGTAAAGGAATTGTTCAGATATATTATGTTAAGCTGATGTTCTATTTATAACATTGTGATTTTATTTAAAACTTTGCTTCCTTTGTGCCATCGATTTTATGTAACTGCCGCTATCCAATAAAAAATAATCCATATAAACGACACGATACACTTAAAAAAAACATATTTCTTTGATTAAATGTATACCCGTTTTACTTTTAGAAATCAGAAACATGGCTTAAAAATTTGTAAGGGTTCCGCGGAACCCAGTGTCTCGCCTACTTTTGCTGTAAATCGCAGGCCCAATAAAAATGAGGAAAAAAATCAATAAAATTATTCCTCTTGATACTATCTTTTGATTGTAAAAAGCTTCTGTCAAAGTTTGGTAAAAATCCAGGATAGTTTATGAATCTAATAAATGTTTTAAAAACTTTAACTGCAGACTGTATGTAATTTTAACTGGAAGAAAAACTAAGTCCATTTAAAATACAGATACACAGGTACAAAATTTTAATAAAATGTCCTTCTAGAAACTAGCTTTTGATCATAAACAAGCTTCTGTCCAAGTTTGGTACAAATCCAAAATAGTATAAGAAAGTTATTAAAATTTTAAAAACTTTAACCACAGAGTGAATGTGTTGTTTCCTGGCAGAAAATCTAAGTCCATTTAAAAGTAAAATACGGAAAAAATGGAATTTTATTTTTACAAAATTTACTTCTGGATACTATTTTATAATCATAAACAAGCTTCTGTCCAAGTTTGGTACAAACCCAGGATAGTTTAAGAAAGTTATTAAAATTTTAAAAACTTTAACCACAGAGTGAATGTTATGTTTCCCGACAGAAAAACTAAGTCCATTTATAAGTAAAATACGGAAAAAATGAAGTTTTATTTTTACAAAATTTACTTCTGGATACTATGTTATGATCATAAACAAGCTTCTGTCCAAGTTTGGTAGAAATCCAGTGTAGTTGAAGAAAGTTATTAAAATTTCAAAAACTTTAACCACAGAGTGAATATTTGTGGACGCCGCCGCCGACGACGACGACGTCGACAGAATGTAGGATCGCTATGTCTTGCTTTTTCGACTAAGTCGAAGGCTCGACAAAAATGAAGGGAGGTATTTCTGATTTAATTTAACTCATGATTTTTACACACTATAAGAAGAAATATGTGCAAAATGTGATGTAATATGAAGAGAATAATTATGTCTTTCACTGAATTATATAATAACTGAGCAATACAAATGAATTTAAATAATTTTATTAGCAAATTACACCCACAAAACACGTCATATAAGCATAGAAACATAGATAGTGTATATGAAATATCCAAACTATAAAACACACATTTAATTGAGAGCCATGTTTCTACTTATGTAAACATTTTAAATGACTGAATTTATAATGCGAAAAGGAAAAGTGGTATCTAATGTTAAATCAACTCATTGCATTCTAGTCATTGTCAGAGCTGTTCTGTTTGTAATATTAATTAGTCTTCTTATTATTTGATAGTTTTTCTGATGAAATTTGATTCTTTTTTCTTCCGATGTGTTAAACTAGCCAACATGTTATGTCCGAATTAATTGAAAGTGGTGCCGAAGACCAAGAAACAAAACCTATATATACCGACTTGCGGAAATATGGATTCCACCACTGTAACACATGTGATACTATATTTCTCCACTCGAAACAGTTAAATTTGATTTTCAAAGCGCGAGACTTGCCGAGCATTTTAAATAATGAAAATTAAACTGTTGAGAGTGGAGAAATATCGTAATATATAAGTTATAGTGGTTGAATCTGTTTCTTTTATTTTCTTATCCTTCCTTTTCAGATTTGCAGAAAGGTGTTTTTCATATGTGACGTCATCAGCATGGTCGCCTTTTTTCACGATGTCACAATAGGTCAAATCAGAAGAAACCAAGAAAATTTTACGTCATAATAAAATATCGACCAATCATTTGCGTAGAACAGTTTTTTCACTAGTGAGGAGAAATATGTTTCTCTGACCGAGAAAATAGCTCAAAATAAAAAAAAGCGGGTAATCCTTTATGTCGTGAATACAAAAAACCCCGCATAATTACTACATGCACATAGATATGTGGTATACAATGAAAAGATAAGATTGTTTTTTTTTACATGTTACATTGCAAATACAGAAGATACGGAATGTTTATGTTGGCTTTGGTAATTTCGTTTCGTTGAATTCGGTATGGAAATCAAAGAAGTTACATCCATAAAACACGCCCTTTTCTACAAATGTGTGTTCAGTGTCGTCGCCGTAATACAATATGGCGGTGAATGGCATGTTGGTTTTTCCTTCGGTTAATGTCGATGTCACTGTAACACTACAATTACACAAAACAATATCAATGTCATACAACAAGTGTGTTATGTTTGGAATGATGAATACCTTTGTTTGTCTGATTGAAAAAAATGTAATACAGAGAATCGTAGAGCTTTTCTGTTTCGTTCCGAAATACCCTATTATCAAAAAAACAAATTGGGCGAATTGGAAATTATTAAACCATTAGAGTTGTCAATTGCAAACAAAAGGTCAACAAATCTTGCCAGACTTTTCTTACAGTTTTCTAGTTTGACAAAATAATCAGTATTTTTGTTGTGAGAATATTGAACATGAATAAAGTATATTATGCTGACAATATTTGAGACACACTATCGTACTCAGAAAATATCTTAAATTGAAATAATGTGCAAAACTGTCCTTCTCTGTGAAAGTTTGTCAAATTCGTGTCTGATCAGTAGTTCACAAGAAAAAAGGACACCAGTCAGTATTTTTGTTTGATTTGATTTAGTAATTGAGAGTTGCGATACAATTTAGGATGTTATCTGAATCCAAGAAATATTGTGTCGATGCAGACATAATATAACTTTTGATAATCTTTTTTAACGAGACAGATTTTAAGATATATATATCAGGTTTTCTATAAAACAAATTCCATAAGCATATGTATAAGTTCGTTCAGATGTAAAATTGTCGGTCTCTCTACACTATTTCATACGGGCCCATAATAGACCGATAGATTAACATCAAATTTTGTATTAGTGGACACTATTAAATTGACGATATCTTGCTTCAAATATAAAAATAGCCAAATAAAAATGAATAAAATTACAAACAGTAGAAAAGAAAGGACAACAATTAATTGTCCAAACTCCTTTTATTATATTAGATAATAACGTATAGAAATAGTAGTAGGCATAATAAAGTATATAATATTATACATACGTGGAATACCGTGGAATTTTTGAAAAATACTCCCCAAACCATTTGTCAGTTTTAGACTTTTGTGTCCCTGCAGTCCTCCCCATACTGACCAACATCTGAGGACTCAAGCTGACTCCTGCGGAACCATTACACGGAATACTAACATTTGCTTTTAAGGTTGCTGAAATGAGATATTTTGCACTTATTCAAAAAATTAATGTAAAACCAGAGAATTCAAGTTTCATCTTCATAAACGGGGAAATAAATAGATCTAGTTCATATGTAGACATTAAATTATTATGGGGAATTTATGCTTCATATATTAAGGTCTGAATTTAGAATATGTATAAATGAGTCGAAAAAGAGGAAACGAGTCAAAAAGATTCTTATATAATGTCCTTTTTCGCTTTATAAACACATCCATGCTCTAACATTGTAGGCGAATATCAATAGAACATGGAATGCTCTCGATTTTTCAAATTTTAGCAAATATATTTGCAATTTCACAATAACAAAGAGAAAGAAACCATCTTATTTCAGTAATTGACGAACTCCGCTTGTAAATGTCCATATTCAAACATAGCAAATTGCCATGATATAACGATGTGTCGTTTAATACATGTAAAAAAAAACAAAAAAAAAAAACAAACAAAAATAAATGAGCACAGCGTGTGATTTTTTAAAAAGTCGACCTAAGCAATAGTTAATGTTTTGAATCAATTGTGGTTTTTACCTGAATAACAGTATGAAATGTAATACCAATTCTTCATAAATTTATGATACTGAAATATAATACTAATGAGATGTGGCATGATTGCCAATGAGACACTATTAGGCAGAGTTTAAATGTCTACGATATAGGCAATAATAAGTCACTGTACAACAAAGAGTCAGCTTTAAAAGGCCACGATACAATAAATGTAAACCAAATCAAACATAGCTATTTTAAAAGGATCGATTTACTATATTTCACATTATTTGTGACAACTGTGAACATTGGATAGCATATTAAATATATCTCAATACTTTGTGTAACTACTTTGGTAATTTCTTGCGAAATTCCTCTAATTTGGAATTATTTTTACCTGGTATTTTAGAGGCTTTGTCCCACCTGAACTCATATGTATCGTCCCTTTCTGTTGGAACGTCGGTTTTTGTAAGAGTCTGCTCTACTGATGTATTATTCTCTTGAGCCCAACTGAAGACAGTTGAGGAGGTATTTTGGATTTTACTTTTTTTCAAGTCATAATCAATACTCTTCAGCTTAATCTTACCCGCAGGTTTCTTTAACACAGAATAAGATAGTTGTTAGTGGGTTGAAGATGACGAATATAAAAGAATAATTATATGAAAAATTATAATTATCTTGTCTAAATGTCATAATATTTTATCTGTAGGGGGTGGTTATCGATTACAACAAATTTAAATAGCTTGTTAAGTTGTGTCTCAAAATGTGTTTTTTTTTTGTTTAAAGAAAATACGACTTCATAAATATTCAGCTTGAGGTTTTTATAGTGTTTCAACCTTTAGTTTTCTGTGTACTGTTTTGTGCACGGGTGTTTGATCTTGTTTGTTTCATCTGGGGTTAGTGTTGTCTGTTTTAGTCCTGATGATAACTTTTTTCTGTATATAAGTTTTGTACATATGTTTATATTTGATGACATTATGTATATAACAGAAATAATATATATAATGTCTACAAATAGCAACAATCAACATTCAATCTATTTAGACGTGGATCAGTTTGTGAAAATAAACCGATACAATTAAAATTATATATATGTCTAAGAATATAATTTAAACACCCTTATTAATACATTTAAAAGTTCTATTAGATTTTAAATAGAAATACGCAATATTTCGCTAAACAGATTAGCTTCATCACGCTTGTGCATCTCTCAAGGTGAAATCGGATGCATGAGAAAAAAAATATTTTTGTAGTTTGAACTACACAAAATTTGAGTAAAAGTTTAACATATTTATTGATGTGCTATAAAAAATATATGTTTGTAGATACAACTATATATTGGAGTAAAAGTTTAACATATTTATTGATGTTCGATAAATTGTATGAATTTCTTTTAAAAAATGTGTATGATTTCAAGAATATTATTTAGATTTGTTTTGATATCTTTTTCGTCTCTCTCATTGAGTACATCAGGTTCAAGAATTGGTAACTGGTGCATCCAAAATCCTTCTCTCTTTTGTCTTCCTTGTGTATCCCAAGTTTGGTTTTTCTCAATGATTTGACATGTGACGTTTTCAAAATCATGCCTTGCTCTTAAAAGATGTCTTGTGATTGGGCAGTTTCTTTCTTTAGTGAAAAAATGATCGATGGTTATTAAGTCGGATTTTTTCTGTTTCTGTTTCACCAACTTATTGCAACTTGCAAGTTCCACACGTTAGAACATAAATACAATTTTGCGTTTTGCAATTTGATGTTATAAATATATTGTATTTTGTCTTTGTGACTGGGTTTTGATGTTGGCGGCTTCGCAGCACTTACAATTATTAACATATGCACAGAAATAATATATATACCAATCTTTTATGGTAATATTCTTAATAAAGCACAAAAATGTCAGTATTCACCTTAAAAGCTAACAAAACCTTTAAACAGACTTATTAAGAAGGGATATAGTTACGATACTGTTGTCAGGTTATTAAAGATTGCATATTTGGCTTTAATATTGATTCACTTATAAGGTCTTTGCATGGAAATTAAACACATTTATTTTGGTATAATACTAAAGGGATTGTGCTTGATATTCATATGATGAAGACACAATCTTTCAATCAGTTTAATTGAGGTCTGGAGCTGGCATGTCAGTAACTGCTAGTAGTCCTTTGTTAATTTATGTATTATTGTCTCTTTTGTTACTTATTCTGACATCGGACTCAAACTTCTCTTAAACTGAGTTTTACTGTGCGTATAGTTGTGTGTTTGTTTTTTCTAAATTGGCCAGAGGTACAGGGGGAGGGTTGAGATCTCAAAAAACATGTTTAACCCCGCCGCATTTTTGCGCCTGTCCCAAGTAAGGAGCCTCTGGCCTTTTCTAGTCTTCTATGATCTTTAATTTAGTTTCTAGTGTATAACTCGGAGTTTAGTATGACGTCCATTATCACTGAACTAGTATACATATTTGTTTAGGGGCCAGCTGAAGGACTCCTCCGGGTGCGGGAGTTTCTCGCTGCATTGAAGACCCATTGGTGGCCTTCGGCTGTTGTCTGCTCTATGTTCGGGTTGTTGTCTCTTTGACACATTCCCCATTTCCATTCTCAATTATATATATATTTACCAAGACGATTTTGCTAAACGAATACAGGCTGTCATTGCAAAATCCTCCGTTATCTCTTGGTAAGCCATCAGACATTTTATAAAACCCTTTCCGAAACAGAGTTTGCTCTCCCTTGTAAACAGGTGCTGTATATCCAACCCACCTATTGAAATAACATGTTTGTTTAAATTAGTGAAATGTGGATGTTTTATATGATTATGACGTTCTGTACGTGATTTCTCTTGCATTAGAAAAAAATGGAGTCTAAAACTAAGACAAAAAGTTCCACATGTAACTTTGACAATATGCCTGATTTAAAGTCTGTACTGTTATATTTTAAGATTCAAGTGTTTAATATAAGAACGATTGGATGTACATATAATAATTGAAACACAAATTTAACCAGAATTTATTATTATTTTTTTGTTATGAGGAACAATCAACATATTCTATATTAAAACAATCAGTTGCTAATTGAAAACTGTAGCAGTAATATAGTATAATTATTATGTGTATATTTCCGTTTTTTTTAGCAGTATGAAAATAAATTTCTTGAAACCAAAATTTTTTTCTGGTTGTACCAACATCTGGAAAACCAAAACCTTAAAATTTGAAAGCAAAGGATGTTTGCTTATTTCAATCCTTAAGGATCATTATAACAAAAAGTAACAAAAAGAGTAGCCAAATCCAATTCTGGTTACCTTTGCCTGAGGGAGTTGAAACCTTTTTTTCCTAATAATTATATTTATTTTCAGAGATCAGTTTAAAACTTATTTGATCTCGGTGCAGTGAAGATCGAGGTTACTATTACTTACATCTTTTCATGTAAAAGGATAGATTTTTTTATAGTAGGAAAGATACTTACGCACCACTTTGCACCTCAATTGAAGACATTTGTTTGTCAAAGTTATAGAGTTCCAGGTTTTGTACATCGTCAGTGAAAGTCAGCGACTGCCCTGAAAAACAGTCTTGGTACACTGTACACTTCGGCTCTTCTGTGAAATCCTAAAAATGGAGCTTCAATAAGAAATCTATAAACTGTCATTATTATTTGGTCTACTCTCATCTTAATAATCATCCTAGCTTTTTGTAAAGACCAATTAAGAACTTGAAACCTTTAGAATTATATCCCTGTTGTGAATCCACAATTTTTATTCGCATGGTTTTCTTATTTTTTTTCTTTAGCTCTGAAAACAAACTTATAGCACACTTCGCTTAAAGAATGTCATTTCGTGATAATATTTTGCTAAAATGGAGTTTTCCGTAAAACTTTGGAAAATATATTGATAAAGTACTTTTTTCTTATGTTGGCACAATTCATATTTAAGCCATTGAGTAAATAATTTCTCTCATATTTTTGTTTAATTAAAAACGAGGGTGGGGTCGGGGAGGCAATCGAGTCGGGTAAGGTGCGTTCAACCTTTCTTAACTGACGAGGATTATTAATTGATGTCGAAGATATTTTTTTGTCGGGTACTACGGCTTCCTCTTAAAATAAAAACTGACAGCAAAGCTATAGCCAAGAGTGCTAAAATGAGCGTTAAACATCAACTAATTATATCAATAATAGCTATTTTTGTTAAGTTCTTTAGCACATTTTTTTTCAAGTGAATTTTAGGATAATTTCTTTATTTGTTCCTATAAATCTAAGTGAAATGTCAGAAGAACAGATTTTTTAAATTTTGATTTGTCAAATGTTAGAAAACGTTTACTACCTACCGACTTCGGAAAGCACAGACGTGTAAAACATAGAAGACATATACAAAAAAATTATCAATATAAAGGAAAACAATTTTGGCCAATAGTAACTTATTGTCGTATGCAGGATACAATATTATATTCTAATTTAAGGGTAAGTGATTATGCTTAGAAAGTGATAAGGGACAATCAAAATTACAAGTCTAATAATAGAGATAACAGTATGGCCAAACAAACATGACAAACATGGATAATTTAGCAACACGAAACACTGGTCGTAAAGGGGCATGAACAAAACCACACCGTTAAATGGATTTTGAGAAAGACAAATTATCTTTTAACAGCTATTGCACTCAAATTTAATTCCGATCAGGACAATATCGTAAATTATTCTTCCATTACTATTCTTATGTCAAATTCTTATACAGATTTAAAAAAAACCAATTGATCTTTTATCACATAATTCTAGATCTTTAGATATTAGCTGAATGGATATACTTTAAATGTAATGTTCCGAGTAGAGCATATCTAGAAAATTTACCAACGTGAATTGAAATATCCTAAATTCAGGTAAGAACAGAAACAGGCGGGATAAGATAAATATAATATGTGCTGACAGCTGACATTGATTTTAATTATAATATATTAAACGTCAATATTAAATATGTATTCATATACAGTTATGAACACTTATAGTCCTACTTCCTGTCGATAATTATAGTTTGGCATTCGGAAATAAAGTCATCTTTTACGCTTAATCTAATAAGTGTGTTATAGTCGATATTTTTGGGTCTGGGGACATGATGTATTCTTTAATTGTAATGCGTGTTGAATGAGTTAACAGAAAATACGAATATTCTTATATCGGTACCTTTTGTCGTGATACTTTTTATTATTTGGTTTTTGTCCTTTGTTTCGATATGGCGAGTCACACCCTTTTCAATGCTTTTACAGTTTGTTCTTATGTTTTGCTGTTACGCCGTTTCATAGATACGGGAGTAGAATGCTGGTGAACATGTTTAATCTGGCCACACCACTTAGTGTATGTACATATTTCAAGTTAGAAGCATGTAAGCTGTAGTCTTTATATAATATAATATTGTAGGACGTCGGTTTTTGTTTTTGAATTATTTTATATTTTATCTTGGTAGGATCTTTATAAATGAGTTACTATACGGTATGTGTGTTTCTAATTTCCAATCCTGCACGGTGACCTTTAGTTGTTAATATCGAGGTTATTTGGTACATGATGAAGACATTGGCAATCATACCACATCTCCTTATTCTATACAAAATAGAAATGATCTACTAACGCATGTTTCTCCTCATTATACACTTTTCTAGTCTTAACCCATAACAGATGACATTTTTGACAAAAGTTTGTAGGAATGGTGGTCGTACCTGATTTATAACTCAGTTAATATATAGAAGTAAGAAGATGTGGCATGAGTGCCAATGAGACAACTCTCCATCCAAGTCATAATTTGTAAAAAGTGAGGAATTATAGGTCCAAGTACGACCTTCAACTCGGAGCCTTGGCTCATACCGAACAGCAAGCTATTAAGTCCCCCCCTCCCCCCAAATGACTAGTGTTAAACATTTCAAGCAGGAAAATCAACGGTCTTATCTATATATATAAAAAAAAAAAAACGAGAAACACTTATGAAAAACATAAACAAACGACTACCACCAAACAGGTTCCTGACTTAGGAAAGGTGCAAACAAATGGAGCGAGTTTAAACGTTTTACCAGTCGCCAACCTTCACCCTTAAGTGAAACAGTTGTTAAACATAACAACATAGAAAGACACACTGTAAAATAGCAATTAAAAGGGCTTAACTCGATCAAAAAGGCATATTTACAAAAACAATTAAACATACACTGAACGAATAAATTTGATCTATAACCAGATGGCGTTAAATAAAATAACGTACATAGGTAAATTTAAATATAACAATTTTGTTGTTTAGAAAACGGAAATATTTCCCAAATAATACATAAATTGGTTGTTCATAATACGAGAACAGAAAGAGGGGCAAAAGATACCAGAGGGACAGCCAACCTCATAGATCGAAAATAAACTGACAACGACATGGCTAAAATGAAAAAGACAAACAGACAAACAATAGTACACATGACACAACATAGAAAACTTAAGAATAAGCAACACGAACCCCACCAAAAACAAATCCGATAAATAGTCTAATTCGGTAGGTCACATTCATGAAAGGGAAGGGGATTGTAGTTACGACGTAAGGAACATATCCGATATCATCTGTGAAACGGTTATTCCATAACGGTCAACCTTGATGGCGTCCGTAAAATTTACGAAGAGATGATTTCAACTTCACTATTTGGAACTCTTGGTTAAATAGCTTTTTTGTGAGCAGCAACCCTCTATCAAGAAAATCATGATAGGAAATACAAGCACGGGATTATCGTATCAATTGGGAGATATATACCCCGTATGCAGGTGCTGCTGGAATGTTGCTACTTAGAAATGGTAAGTTCACAATTGGAAAGCTGAAATCATATCTTTTGTCGTAGAGTTTTGTTTTTAACCGACCCTCATTGTCAATTTCTAGATGTAAGTCAAGATATGAGGCCGACTTAACTGTATCTGTTGTATCCTTTTTCTCTAGTTCGATGGGATAGATGCGTTCAACATAGTCACCAAATTTTAAATTATTTAGTGAGAGAACATCATCTATATAGCGGAAAGTAAAGTTAAAGGATATTGCTAACTTCTTATCTTTCTTCCTAAGAAGTTCCTGTATGAAGTCAGCCTCATAATAATAAAGAAACATTGGAATGCCGACGGTCTGTTGAAAAATACGTCCTCCGAACGTAACAAATATGTTGTCAATCCAGAAATCAAGCATCTTGATAATGTCAGTATTAGAGAATTTTTTGTTTGAATCAGAGTGATCCTTTACAAAGTAGGATTATCCCTCCCTAAGACAAGATACTTGTATCTACGTTGGCTATTCTTTTTTATGAAACAAAGCAATACCAACTCTTTCAATTTGTCTTTTTGTTTGGAATGTGGAATACTTGTGTAAAGTGTAGAAAAGTCAAATGTTTTAATACTATTACAAGATGAAAGAGAGTTAGGTGGTATGTACTCTCAAAGATCTTTGGAATTTTTTAGTATCCACATCTGATTCACGCCACCTCTAGAATAGGCAGTTTCACAATAACTTTGAAGCCCGGCTTTGATTGCTGATAAAATAGATGTTAATAATTTAGAAAGAGGTTTCGTGGAGCACTTGGAAGACCCAGCAATATACCGTTGTTTGTAAGGACACTTATGTAGTTTAGGTATCCAATACAGTGATGGAAGATCCAGTTCTTCATCTTTGGTTGAAATTCCAAAGGAACATAGAACAGACCTATGATTATCCAAGATTTCCTCTTTGGTAAGTGTCGTGAGGGTATATGTTGAGTTTCCAAGTGAATTGTCAATACCTAATTCGTTTATCAAGCAGTTTATGTAATGAGTTTTACACACAAAAACGATGTTGTTTGGGGCTTTATCGTTATCTCAGAAGTGATAATTTATCGTCATACTAAATACTATGACTGTAGTTGGTTTTTCATCACAATGGTATAGATGATGTCAGCCAGATTTGGAACAACGTATCCAAATTGTTGTGTTTGATGTTAATTATTTAATCTTACAACTGTTTTGATTTCAGCTCCATTGATAACATTTAAGTAGACGAAATGTGCGTTTGGCATTTTATATTTTAAGCCTATTAGTGGATTGGAAAATACTGATTTTTTGGGAACATCTGTGTTCACTTTCGTATTTTTTATGGTTTGTTTCAATCCTTCCTTTGTCTTTTCTGGCAATGTTATGTTAATTTTCGAAGACATACGGATTTTTATTACCCTCCTGTATCTAATAAAATTCGAGAAATTGAAAAGTAATTGTTCTAATTTGGTGATTAAATATATATTTTATCGTCAAACATTTTGTTTTTTTCTTGTTTACACCTTTTTGCTTGCGATTTGTATTGATTAAGTTGACAATAACCCTTTTCACATGAAGAAAAAAGAAGAATTAATAAAAAATATGAACGATCATATGTATTATACTAAAATGATGTGTTCTATGACATGCTGGACAGAAAAGTGCAAATCGAAGTTTAAATGAAAATTTTATTTTTAGCAATGGTCAATTGAAATAAACGAGACCGGAGTGTATTGATTGAAACTGAACTATTTACATTCAGGTTCTGGTTGATAGTAACTCTATACTTACTTTGTAGTCCAGCAATTTTAAAGACAACGCACCGCAGGTGGCAAAATGATCTGAAGGATTGTGCGTCTCTCCAAACAATATACTATTATGTTGGTCTCCATCATCTACGACGAATATATATCCTTTGTAATCTTTTTCACTGTATAATATCCACCTTGAACATAAAAAAGAAACAGAAAAATGAAGGTTAATCGTAAATCTTCTATTACATGTATTAGAATTGACTACACACAGGAATTTATTCATGTATTTATGATCTCTAAACCAAAAAACTATGTGATATTGTAGACACTTGTTTGATAGCTGTTATTAAAGAGACGAAATATATCAATCTTATCAACTGGGCGATATACACATCTAAATTATATATACAATTCTAATTCTATTGGAAATGATAATGATGTGTTTGTTACAGCCACCTTCGATTTTTCTCTTCTTCACCACTGATGTCTTGATTATATTATATGTTCATTTTTTTTAAACAATTTTTAATAAACTGACATTTAAAAAACGTATATATAAATCGCTATACTTACACCCCTCCTGTGCATTTGACACTCCATCCACACGTGGTGATGTCGTCAATTCCAGCGTCAAGTAAATCAGGGCATGATTTTGTGAAATCTTTGCTTCTTCCTTTGAAATCCCGTAATACGTAGAAAGTTATCTTCAATGAAAAATCATCATCATCATCATCATCATCATCATCATCATCATCATCATCATCATCATCATCATCATCATCATCATCATCATCATCATCATCATCATCATCATCATCATCATCATCATCATCATCATCATCATCATCATCATCATCATCACAATCATCATCATCATCATTATCATCATCTTTGTCGTTGTCTTCATCATCAAATGTGTACAAATGTGTTCAAGATAAGTATTAAATTTGCCTTGGTTGAAATACGTAAAGGGACATTTAGGCATATACACTTTTATATTAGTTGATGCTTGAAATATATTTATATGACTCACAAACATTTAATTATAATTAAGAACATGTGTTGCCTAAAAACGGGTATGTAATTTTAAGCTAGTGCCTTACATAATCCAAAACCTGCGTAACATTTTTAATAAGAAACGTTTACCTTTGGTTCCATTTTTACAGCTTTTCATACGAACTAACATACAATGGGAGCTGTTAGATTATATGTCGAGCAAGAACTGTTATGTCTGCGCGTCAATGATGTATAAATCAATATCCGTCTAGAAAGATGTAGACCTGTTAAAATAACTTAAAAAGTCTACAAGTTCTTATATTAATCACTGTTTTTTAAAGAAGCAGTTATAAAAGTGATACAGCATTTCATTCACAGATGAAGTGTATATTTGCTACCAAAGGACTGATTTTGCTTTAATGAAGAATGTTATAAGTCTGTTAATTTCGATTCACCTAAAAGAGTAAAACATCTTTTGTTCAATTATATAACGACTCGACAACACACCATATGTTTTAAAATATACAAATTACAGATAGTAACTGTTTTATAGTTATTATATAAATCATTTTATTTTGTATCTATTTTCGGGTACAATTACATGACTTTTTATAAATGTTACCTGAATATCATTCCATAATTGTTTTTTATCAGTTTGTCATTTGAACATTGCTTTATAAAAATAACGCATTGTTTCTATACTTTAACGAACTTTTGCATCTACAGCGCTGGACTTAACATCTTTAGCGCTGGCATCTTTATAAACAGCGCTGAATTTTATATCTTCAGCACTGGACTTTACATCTCCTTCGCAAGATTTTATATCTTCAGCGCTGTACTATTATTTCCATCAGTTGATGCTTAATCCGAAGCGCTGGACTATATATCTTTATTGCTGGATTTTGCTTCTCCAGCGCTGTACAGTTTACAGTAAGGACTTAACATCTTCAAAGTTGCTTTGCATCGCCAGGAATAGACATAAGATATACTGCACTGGAATTGATTGATACAGCGCTTGACTTTATATCAACATCGCTGGTCTGTATATCTACAATACCCCACTTTATATCCACAGCGCTCAGACACTAGACTTTTCATCTACAGCGCTATATTTGGAAATTCAGCATGGCTCATTAAAACATACAAAACTTATTCACGTTACATGTGTTTTTCATGTTTTATTTCAAACTTAAACTTTAAAGCAATACCCAGTTACTAAATAAAATGTTCTTTACAAACATAGTCCAGAGCACGTTAAACCCGAGTGAAAAAGATATAGTAATATGTATACAATGGTCATTCTAAAGAAAAACTCTGTAAATAAGGAAGGACAAGTACAATTTCTTTTTAGAAATTGTTATTTTAATTTGAGTGTATATGTAGCCCGGCCTCATTTTATTGATATACTACTATGTTACCTGCATGTGCCATGGAAAAACCAATATATAAAGTCCCTTCATTTGGACCACAGTGTTACAATGAATCGCGTCTAAATGGAAAAATGTAATTTTAGCTTCACCAGAGATATATTTAAAGAAATTCTCCAGTGACGGATGCAGCATTTTGAAAAAGGGGAGGATCAGAGTGACCCTTCATAAAATATATTTAGATTTTCGAATATCTAACATCACACTACCCAAAATGCACCGAGTACTCAATTTGTACCAATTTTGCAAAAAACAGCGACGGATATCATAAATGCTTTCTTAGAGACTAAATACTTCTTATTTTGATCATTTGTTTCATACATCTTTGAACAAAGTTAATACATTCGAAGATACACAAAACGGTCATATCATACATCAAAAGATAAAGTCGTTAGTGAAAAATAGCATGCGACGTTAACAACAAGTCGACTTTTGAAAATGAACATTTAGATTATATCCTCCATTGATGCATTTTTAGTTAAGCATAATTGCAATTAAGTACTCTTGGATCATTTTGAGGATGGCTCATAATCATCTTTCCATAATCCAGTACTGATTCAAAATCAAATTTGCTAAATTATACAGTAAATAAGGATACAAACTAAACACAGACAAGAAACATTTGTCTGAGTCTTAAATAAACCAAGGTGACAAAAACTGTCAAAAAGATATAATGCTTGTACCCATAAGTTAGGGCTTTGCTGATTTCCCCAAATTCAAACAATTCAATTCGGTTGAAGAAAATATAAAGCGTCATATGTAAATATAATTAAATAATCATTGTTATGTGTTTTTGAAGAGATAAAATCATTTTATCAAACTTTACGATTTTTACGAAAACATGCCTTGACGTATTTTGTATATATTTATATACATTATACATCTTTGTAGGTACAGAGTTTAAAAAAATGAGCAATTTAAGTAAATCATGAATACATGAATACATGAAACTAAAAATGTAAAAACATTTTAGATTGAAAGTCAGTGTGCCAATCATGCAAACAACAGTAATGGTTTTGACTTTTTGTCAGGCATATAGTGCGAACAGGAGATATTCATATAAATATGAAAATTCTTAATTTTCGAATTTTGCTATGCTTAAGCTTCTACAATGTCATCTTATGCATTTATTTTCTCGTAGAATAAATTTCATTTAGAAAAAATCAAATTCAACATACGATTTTTACATCATTCACCACTTTTGGCGAAATTTATAACAAATGTCAATACAATCTTCCTGCTCCTTCTAAAGTAATTCTAATGTGTTTAAATACACTGAACCGTTTTGACAGATAGAAAATGCATCAGTTTTACGTTTTCTCTGTGTGTTGTGTGTTATGTTGTTTGTCGTTTGGTCGTTGTTTGATTATGCCATTACATTGTCAGTCTGTTTTTGACTTATGATTTAGTTTACTGGTGAATATCAAAAGGCAACCGAAAATCAATTTAAATAACTGGTTAAACAAATACCTAGTCGAAATTATTATCAGTTAAAATATTTTTTATTAAAAAAAGTTTTGATACTACCTCAGTTAGTGTTAAAAGCTTTTTTAATGTACTTACATGCCTTTTTAGACAGCTCAACGTACTGTGTTTTCAATGGTTTACTACAGAGGGTATTTATACATAAGTTTAGTTCCCAAGGAAGAGCTATGTAACAACGGATAAACAAACATGACATATGAAGAGCTTCCCTTGTTTTAAATGATGTTTAAGAATTATTCAATAATGATAACCGGATCTGTGTTGCTTTGTTGTAGAAAGACACATGACCATTGTACCATGCATAAACAACAATATAAATAGAAGTAAATATTGATAAATGGATGAATAAAATATATATGTTTTTGAATTGTTAAAATTGTTTTCTCTACGATTTGAAAATATGATCGATAATTTTCATGATGCTATGACAGTCTCATTCGGGCGAAAAATAAATTTTGTAAGCTTTACTGTAATCCCACGATTCATCTTTCATCTTTTGATCATTTTTTTCGTCTTTATGATGCATTATCGTAATTACATTTAAGATTCAGTCGACGTGGGATTATCAAAAAGCAACCGAAAAACAGTTAGTATAATTGGTTAAACAATCACCTAGTCGAAACTATTATCAGTTAAAATATTTTTTATTAAAAAAAGTTTTGATACTACTTCAGTTAGTGTTAAAAGCTTTTTAATGTACTTACATGTCTTTTTAGACAGCTCAACGTAGTGTTTTCAATGGTTTACTACAGAGGGTATTTATACATAAGTTTAGTTCCCAAGGAAGAGCTATGTAACAACGGATAAACAAACATGACATATGAAGAGCTTCCCGTGTTTTAAATGATATTTAAGAATTATTCAATAACGATAACCGGATCTGTGTTGCTTTGTTGTAGAAAGGCACATGACCATTGTACCATCCATAAACAAAAATATAAATGGAAGTAAATATTGATAAATGGATGAATAAAATGTATATTTTTTTGAATTGTTAAAATTGTTTTCTCTACGATTTGAAAATATGGTCGATAATTTTCATGATGCTATGACAGTCTCATTAGGGCGAAAAATACGTTTTGTAAGCTTTACTGTAATCCCACGATTCAAATAATTAGATAATCGTTATGTTACTGGGTAATGATACATATTATAATAGGCAGATACTTTGACGAAAAAGTGGAGAGATGCAAGGGAACAATTAGAAAACAACAAAATGAAATACAGGCAACACCATTTCATGGCAGAAAATAGACAAAATTTTACATAAAGATTGAGTTAAAAGCACGTACCCCACCATCAAAAGGGTAAATTCAGGTTCATTCTACAAAAAGAGTTACCTTTATCGACTTAATAAAAGTAAATCATTTAATCGATGTTTATTATAGTTTAATTACCGTAAATGCAACTATTAAAAAGATTAAACAAATGATACTACTGATGTGCGTACAACACAGTCATGTGAATAATCTTCGTTAACAACACTCACGACTGAAATATGTTATAAACCAATGACGTTGAAAGGTTTTGAAAATCAAACCAAAGGACATTAATTGAAAAGCAAGCATGTCTTGGGTAACTTTAACTGAGAGAGTTTTAGTCTAGAATTGCTAACTTCAATTTGATTGATATATATAGTCTAAAGCAAAACAGATAATATTGTTTTGATTCTGAATATACAAATTAAGTAAAAAGAACTTCTGAGGAAATTGTGTGATCTCCAAAAGGACCGAAACCCGGTGCACTGGTAGAGTAAGCCAATCCTGTTATGCATTCATCAATTGCAATGAAACTCCACACCCTATCGTTCGACATTTAATTCGTTTTAAATCAGTTTTGACGGCACCATAAATAATAAACTGTTTCATTTATCATATGCAGTTCAATCAATGTAAAATGTTTATTTTCTTCAGATCTCAACGTATCAACTTAAACATTGTGAAACTGTACAACTACTACTACTACATATAATATGAAAGACTGTCGGTATAGAGTAGGCATTGATAAATAATGTCAAGGAATTAATCTATGATAAAACCAAAATGTACATGGTCAGTCTGATTCTAATTATAATAGCGGAATCGTTTTTAAACACATCGAAAAGATTTGTTTGTGTAGCATTATCATGACCCAATAATAAATTCAAATTCTGTGTTAAACTACTATATCATTAACCTATCAACGTTAACACTGAGGTTATTGAGTTTGAATCCCGCACGTGGCAGATGCGCTTGATTCAAATCTTAATTGACAAGGATTGTCAGTTTTCCTAATGAAGGTCGCTGGTTCTCTCCGGTCACTCAGGCTTCCTCCACCAATAAAACCTGACCGCTACGAAATAGCACAATAGTGCTAAAAGTAGCGTTAAAAACCAATCAATCAATCAAAAAATCAGTCAATCGCACTTAAAAGAAAGCAAAATGAATATGCTAATCTGCGTCTAAAAAGTCACTTTTAGAAGAAAGAGAATAACTCACAAGTCATTGCAAGATTGAGACGATCCAACCAGTTGTTTAATCAGATATTTTCCTAGTTGATGATAACATTTCACCTGTGTGACGACTGACATTGAATGGGAATACATTAATCAAAAGAAGACTATATCTGGCGAAGACATCTAATTAACACCTTCATTTTAAAGCACTGAGCAAAAGAAACCTTCGGATGATTAAGAAGCATATCAACGTATTTGTTAGATGAGTATAAAAAGGGAAAAAAGTCGAAAGGAACACACGAAGAAGAAAATGTATAAGAAAACTATAATCTATGAACGTATATACTTACGTAAATAAATACGAAGAATGCTTTTACGGCTTCCAAAGAGCATGCGAGGAAACTATCAACGTGTTATTAGAGAAGGAATATACATTTCAATTCTGGTTGTTGAAATTAATTACGTATGCTTATTTATTTGCAAAACAACATATAGTTCTGGCGTGATGTCCTTGTAATATAAATCACACCGAGCTTAAACTATGAAATATGATAATTAGATATTCAGTATGTGTGTTTACAAGAATCCTTATTTGCAATAGGTATTTGGAAGAAAAGTATTTTGCAATGAAATTGATACTCAAATACTCAGAAATATGAGATTTAATTGATAGACATTTCGATGAAGAATAATTACAATAACATTACATATTTACATTCATGACGAAGGAATCATTTTGTTCAAAAATATTTTGCTCTAATATAGTTTAGAAACTACTGTAGAATAATTGAAAAGATTTTTTTCGAAATTGAAACTGAAAAAATATAGCTTTTGTTCATAGGCAGGAAACAACATAATAAAATTATTTGAAAGAGACATTGAGTCTTGCATTTTATTATAAGTTACATGGTGTGCTATTGACCTATTACGAGATATATGGGGTGAGAATAAACTCATCATATATACCAGGATTAAAATTTTGTATTTGTGCCAGACACACGTTTCGTCTACAAAAGACTTATCAGTGACGCTCGAATAAAAAAAGGTAAAAAGGCCAGTACGAAGTTAAAGAGCATTGAGGCCCGAAAATTCCTAAAGGCTTTGCCAAATACAGCTAAGGTAATCTATTCCTGAGGTAGAAAAGCCTTGGTAATTCAAAAATTCTAAGTTTTGTAAACAGTTAATTTATAATTATAACCATATCAATGATAATGCATGTCAACAAAGAAGTGCTGACTACTGGGCTGGTGATACCCCGGGGGAATAAAAACTCCACCAGCAGTGGCATCGACCCAGTGGCATCATAGATACCAGGATTGAAGAAGCTCGAACCCCATATGATATTTATTGACCCCTTATATCTCGTATGATGTCACTAGCTCACTATGTAACTAATTTATTTTACCGACTATCTTAACACGTGGCATTTAAACTAGTGGTCTGTGAAAGTGATCGAGGCTTCCATATAAAGACCAAATGACGACAATGACGAAGTTTTAGCTTTTAACGTGTTTTCTGCATGTATGTCAATCGTACACCATCAATATCTTCATCTGTTGTCCGAGTGAAACGTTTCAGACTTTTCCTTACCGCCGTGTTGTTTCTATAATGAGACATAACACCGCTATTGACCGTGTATTCAAATAAACCACACCTACTAACCCCATATAAAAAATATACACGGTCCAGGCGGTCGCCTTTAACCAAAGATATTCCTAGAAATGTATAGGAGGTAAGATGTAAAAGGATATTCGAAGTAAACGTCATGCAGAAAGCTTAATTTTTTTTAAGGATGTTAGCTACCCTGTTTCAAAATAACAAGCTTTTTAAAAGACTGTTATAAATAAAGGAAATAAAAAACAGAAAAAATGAAGGGTCCGTGTGCTACGAAAAAATAACAAGGATTTTATGAGATTTTGAAAAATGGCTTTTTAAACAATATGTAATAAAATTATGAAAAGAAAAGTAAAGGTTATCAGGCAAAATTTTTTTTGGCAATAACATGGATAAAACTTGAGGAATCCGAATATCTGACAAAGATTCAAAAACAAGAGTAGCTAACATCCTTAACGTTGAATTCATTTATATTTGTTAGTACTAATTTTCGTGGATTGAGGAAAAATTGTCTTTTAGTAGGTATTTAAATTTATGTTTTTGCCAAGGTCTTTTGTCGAATATATTGATTCATAGTTCACCTTCACCACGAAATCCAAGAACATCGGTTACCCGCAAATGATAATAAATCCACGTTATGCTTGCAGAATAACGTTGTTTTTTGTTGTCTAACTGGATTTTAAAACTCAAATTGAAGAACAAAAACAAGCATAATATATCAATACAAATCAGGATAACAAATAAAAACAAACTGGGAATTGCATGAACTCTAAAAGGAGCATCGACAGAGTAAGTGTCTCCTTCTAAGAATGCGTCACTCAACTTGAGAAATCTCACTCAGTCGAATAGTCACATTAGGGATAAAGACACAATCGACAAAATTACAGATCAAACCACTATTCCGCTGTTTATAGATGCGCGACTGCAGTAACTTGTCGTTAGTTAGTTGAGACACAACCATCTGTTATTGGTCAACTTATTTGAAACAGTGACCGTAAACCTGATGTATTGCGGATTTCAGTCGTTCTTCCTCATAAATCTGTTTGAACAGTTTTTGTGTTATGTACGCACCCGGTTAACGTTTTCCGTATAGTGTGAAAATGAACTAGCATAACTTATCAATTGTGATATGCTAACGCCATACAGTGTGACAGAGAGTCTGTTAATACTGTCAAATTGGGTTACTGTTAAAATTGGAATGTTAAAATCATCACATGTTTCATAAATTCTAGTTTGTAGTCATCCTTTTATGTCAATATCGAAGAAAAGATCAATATGTGAAACATACTTTCTAGTGTCAGTAGTAATTGTTGTCTTAAGTTCACTGGAAAAATAAATTGCAAGCATCTACTGGAATGTCGGTTCATGACTGACAGGATACATGTATCATCAATATATCTAATTATCAAAGAATTTTACAAGTTTTTGTTCTTTCTTTTTTGCTTTTAGAAGGTCTTGTATGAATTGTGCTTCGTAGAGATACAAAAATATGTCAGCCGACAGGAGTGAACATTAAGTACTTATGTGAATATTGACTGTGATGAAATAGCTATCCACTTATCTAAAAAAAATATGTAATCGACCAAAAAGTACTAGTCGAAGAGAAATTGACAATGCTTTGAAACCGGATGACAAACAATTCAACAAAGGACGGAATACATTGAAAACTAATGCAACACGAGCCTAAAACACAACTGTGATGACCTCATGTGTTTTGGAAGGGTAAGCAGACTCTGCTCCACTATCGCCATTAAACATGTTATTAATAATGAGTAGACATTCGTTGATAAGTCTC